AGCAGCAGCAGCAGCCACTGATATGCATGTATGGTTGTGTTGATCTGTGTGGACCGGGTCCTCTGCACAGACAGACCCTGCATTACTCAACCACCACTATAGATAGGAACTTTATGCTTCTTCCTGCAGAAGACATTTTTAAAAAGAATATTGCAAAAAGGAAAGAATTTTTAAGATTCATGAGCAGGTGACCCCCCCAACATGCTTTAGTTGGTATGATTCTCTGAACCAGAGCTCTGAATTTTCTGCACATTTCTAAACACAACAGAAACCAGTGTAACAGAATTTACAAATATACTAGCACATAAAAACATTTAGAACACAGATTAAGAACTGACTTTAAGAACACTGTTAATATATCTCATTTTCTAAACAAATACAGTCATCAAATGCAGTCAATGAATGAATTCATAACATCTGCTTGTGTTCCAGTGTTTGAATGAATGAAATGCATTAAAACAGCATATCAGCACACAACTAATAGCATTTGGTAAAAAGCATCTGACTCAGGGGTTGTTCTTACCAAATTAGCTGCAGTCACCTCAGCGAATGACAGGCCCTGTGGACTGATGAGGATGTGATCCTGTTCTTTGTTGACACGCACCTGAGTCACAGGGAAGAAAGCAGGAGGCTCACACCTCAGTCCAACATTTTTGACCACATGACACAAAATGATTCCGGTCAGAATCCAAAAGCCAGTGTACTCTGATGCAAATGAAGTATATCTCCAGGATATTTTTACCTATTTAGTCTCGTTACTCAAATGTCAAACTCTGACATTTTAAGTGCTTGTCAGGTATTTTATAGTTAATTCATGTCAGCCTTCACACACTTGTAATTAAAAATCCCATATATGAATAACAACGAGTCAGAGCACCAAGCTCACATAAAGATATGCCAACGTATGTGATGCATAAATAAGCCACCGTGCAGCAAAGTCAGACGGTGAAGTTATACTCACAGTGATGTAGGAGCTTGTAAAACGAGCCCAGCTGAAGAGATCAACAAGCCTGTAGAGGGTGGCCAGTTTGCAACGGCTCTGTTTCTCTCCTTTGGCAAAGGAAGGAGACTCAATGCTGTACAAGTCATTAATTGGAGTTACCATCCCAAAGCCTGCAGAAAGACATAACACGTCCTGCACATCACTTTGTTTCAAAGCATTGCTTAACATGTTTACATCTACGTTTGGACAATTCGCCTCGTGTCAGCATCCCATATTTTACCAGAGTCAAATTAAAAAGTTAGTTATGCAATTAGATTAGTTCTTTAATTAAGCATGGATGGGTGAATAGGCGGTGGAAGGACAGACAAAAGGATGGACTGATGAATGGATAAACAAGCAATCTTTAAAACAATTTAGAAGCCAAGCAAAAATACTTTTATGGATTTCCTCCACTCTACATGACTCTTACTACATACAGGAAACTCCAGTCTGCACAGCTGGATGCAGCTACGAAGCTTTAAAAGGTCTTAGAATTCCCAACGTAAAACCAGAAGATATTTTGGGCTTTTTACTCCATATAAGGACATGTAATGATACAGAACCCAATCTCTTTTTATGACCACTCTGGCTTTCTAAAAGAAAGGTTTGCATAAACAGCTTCGCAACCACTTCCTTCATGGCCTGATTCGAATGTTTATGTCTTTTCTATGACCTCTGTTAAAGCCTCCCCCGAGGCAAACAGTCACACTAACAGAATTACCATAGCAAACTGCTCTAATTTCTTCCAAAGAGTGGTCATGAGGGGAGTAAACAATGAAGGATGTTGTCAACAACTTTCTGCTTCTTCTGCAGTTTCAGGGCTGTCGAGTGTCACAAGATTCTGAGAGATTTCCCTCCAACAATGAGGTTAATCAGTGTGCAGAATACGCTCATACACATGCGGCACACTTAGTGTCAACCTGACTCGAAGGGACGTAGACAGATTCTTTTGTAAACACAGCCACTCACTGATGGGTGAAGTCAAAGGGCCAGCTCCTCCCACGGTGCTGGCCATGACCAGGTCAGCAATCTGCCTCAGTGCCAGGAGACCTGAGGGGTTGTTGCCCTTCGTCATCTGGTCCTGAATCAGGCCCTCCAGCTCATCTTTAAACACCTGAAATCGAAGCAAGAAGGAAAAACAGTGCTGTAAAGCTCTGTCACCGTGACAACTGAGACAAACACAATCTTCACCTCATTCCAACACCTCCAGAGGATGTGTCCAGGGAGTTCTCCTTATTGCCACTGTACACAAATCACCAAAGGCTTATTAAAAGGCTCTTTGTGAGTCTGTGAAAAGGGGCTTCATTAAAAGAAACAAGGAGGAGGGGTGTAAAATAAACATGACTATCAAATTTTGCATCAAGAGTAGCAGTGAGTCCTAGAACAGCATTTTTGTTAGCTAGGGTTGAGCTCTGGTATTCTGCTCCATCCGTTCAGTTCCCATGGTGATGAATTACACTTGTTGGGCTTGTTATGCAACCAAGGATGAGTGTGGGCTCGTCTTATTTCTATCCACTTCACTGATATTTGTGCATTACACCTCCTTGTACTCCAGACTGTGCTGTCTTCAGTTAGATTGAGGTTAGCCTGAAATCTTATTAAATACAGATTTAATACTTCAGCTTGAGAAGAGTTTCTGAACTGCAATCAATGTAGGGTTGTTTTTTTTTTTTTTGTCTCACAAAAAACTGCTGCTCAATGATGCTCATTATCAAAGATTATAGAGAGAAAATACGTGGATTTGTTAAAATTGATCAGAAAACACCACTGAAGGATTTCCTGAAATTGTGTAGTCATATTAACAAACATAGAAAGGACAGATTGTTTTTTAAGAGGACAAAACCCAAAAGGTTATGTTATCTAGGACTGCAACTAATTATAATTTTGCTTCCTTATTTAATCTTATTTAAGATTCCTTAAATACTATTTTTTACAGAATTCAGCCAGGTGAAACTAAAACTTTTCCACTTGAGGAATGCTGGATAGAGCATATTGACAGACAATAATGTTTTTTTTTAGTGTTAAATGGCACAAATTAGCTTTTTTTTTGTTTGCTCTGTCAGCGAAAGGCATCTTTAGAGTCTCTATACTCCCGTTAACGATTGATTACTAAATTAGTTGATGATCATTTCTATAATCTATTAATCCTGATTAATTCAATTATTTGCACCAACCTTAATGTTATCTTTAAAAGTTTTTAACCCCCTGGTATCTTAATACATTACAGGAGTAATAGGTTGAACATGTTATGGAATTAAATGACTATTAGCTGAACTTAAATACATTACAGACCTAATCTTCACATTATTTGCACATCTTAATAAACATGCACACTTATTTGTAGGCACAAAGCTGATCTTCAGAGAAGGGGCAAAGTGATTTACCTATATCAATTCAGTAGGCAGCGTGCGCAAAGTTATTTGTGTTCATCAATATAAAGCCCATGTTCTAATGACCAAATCATGTAATTTTTGGGTGGAGGACATGCAGATGTTAAAATTTAAGAGATTTTCCAATCTGAAACTCAACTATAGCTGTAGTTTTTGCATCTTCTTAGCCCCTCTGAAGCGTTATCTGCTGTGAATCGGACTATGGCTCATGTCTCGGAAAGGCAGTGGGATTGGGGGGGGTCATCGATCAGTAATTACCTTTTCTAAAAAAATGTTCATTACAATTGGGCTGCTTATGAAAAGTGTACTAATATCTCATATCATAATTATTTTCTCATAATTATTGTCATCATTTCCACCAGTTACATGGCTGAGAACCTTGTTGTTCTTTAATGGCTGCTCTAATACTACCAGTATTACATGCAATATAGTCATTTAAATGGGCAGAACCAAACCAGTTAACAGATTTTAAAAGTTGCACAAGCAACCATTGTAGACCACCAGCAATATGCACACTGATACACACGAGAAAAAGAAATTAAACTTGCAGTTCAGCGCCCTTTATGTGGAATCTTTGTAGATCAGGCCCTTAGTGTTTATAGGAAAATTGTTAGCAGATACAATCAAGTAATGATTGACAATTTAGTAATTTGTATCTAAACCCTAACCCTTATGACTAAAGAGTGTCTAACATTGTATAAAACTTTATTATAACACTACGCAGTCACACAATCCCACACTCTAATTTGCATTTTTAAAGTCCTGAATCTGTTTAATTGAAAGTAAAAACATCTGTAACTGAGATGTATGGATGTACGGGTGCACAAAAGAATTGATGGGAATATTATCTATTAATAGTCTTTTTTCAATTCATTTCCAGAAAAAGAAAAAAATCTAATTTCAGTTTTTGAGTTTTCCCACTTATGTGAAAAATTTACAAATTTAAGTTTGTGTGGGGCAAGTAGAAACTGGAACTGGATAAGTCATGCTTGAAGCTGCCACAATAATATCAAGCTCCTTTAGTAACACTGCTGCACTCTTGGTGCACCAAGGAGTGTTATCGCAGATCCTTCCTCCCAGCAGTTGCTAGACTTTATAATCTCCCAGCAAACTAAAGGGCAATAATCTCGTTATATGACTTCTCAAATCTATATACCAGTAGTTTGCTGAATTTCAACATAGTGTGACTGAAGTTGAGAGAGACCAAAACATCGGCCTGCTGATTTATTTAGCTGACATTCGCATTTTTTAAAAATATTTTATCAATACTGGGCAATGTATGCATGCCATCACTCTATCATAAGTGCATTTAGCAGACATGTCTTTCTATTTAGTAAACTACATGCATCGGGTTACCTCCATTTGTTATCCATTGTTAATATTTTGTGTGATTTATTAATAAATATTTCTTTTATGTTTAAATTAGGACTTGTGTTACATCTTTTAAGTATTATCAAATTTTTGTGATGCAAGTGGAGGAAGTAGAAGTTGAAGAATCAGCCCAAAGATATGGATTGCATTTATCAGCGCCACTTATGCTAATGTTAAAATAAGAGGTATCGGCATCAATAAAACCAGTATCGGAGGTATTGTATTGTGCATGTGTGCAGGGAAGAAAGTTGCTAAGAAAGTTAGCACTCCCATAAAAACTGTAAAAAAAAAAAAAAAAGGCAATATAAAAGGTTTCTGTGGAAGGTGCTATAGTTCATAGGACTAATCAAGATCAGATTCAATTCAGGGTTCATCAACAATGCACTTACCAAGGAAATAGCCTTTTAATAGAGTTGTTGTAGATCGATTCATTTAATTAACACTGGTTGGTCTTTGACCATAGCGAACTGTTGTTTTACTGCGGGGCCTTTCAGGATGATCGAGGTTTATTAAATAGCTGAGTAAATTATGGCCATCTAGCTTTCTGACAGTTCCTCAATACTGCAGGCAGGTGGAGCAGCACTCACTGCTGGAATTCTATTTAGGCATTTATGCTGTAATTATAAAACGTAACTAAAATTCTTTATTCATGTGTTTACATCCCTACTGTAATTTTAAGTTTTTTCTTTTGCACAGACCTTGCTGGTGTTTTTTATGCACCTTTACAGACAGATATGTTACAAATCTTTTTTTTTAATCTTCCTACTTATGTCTACTATATTTATTATTCTGTTACAAACTTGGTTGCTAATTTGTTTCTAAAAAAAACCCTAATATCCCTAGTGAGGGACAATAAATGAATATTCTATTCTCCTCTGAATATGAACTTGGGTTCACACTGAAGAAGAGTTTGGACTCGGCTGATTAACCCTTTATAGGGCACTCAGTGAAATACTTTGAAAATCAATGTTTCAAGCCAATAGTGTTATTGGAATCCAGAGCAACACCTTATTACCTTTGTAACATTCAAAAAAATATGCATATTTTGATGGAAAAAATTTATGTCAATGTAATAACAAGAAACGCCAACTTCCCGAATATATTATATATAAGAAAAATAACAAAAGTGCTTCTATAAGAATTTCATGAAAAACACTCAGATAGCGAAAGAAAAACATTTTTCTTTTGGTACAACATAACCAGAGGCATTAATGCTAATACTAGCATTTACATTTTTTAGTTAATAAATCTAAATAAAAGTGTAAACTTGGCTTATTAACTTTTCACCTTTTTTTTCTTAACTTGATAACTTATTTTTCAACTTAATTTAACCTAACAGTCATATTTTTGCACTGTGGGAGGAAGCCGGAGTACCCGGAGAAAGAACCCACGCATGCACAGGGAGAACACGCAAACTCAATACAGAAAGACCCCAGGCCGGGAATCAAACCCGAACCTTCTTGCTGCAAGGTAACAGTCTTACGCACTTCCCCACTGAGCATTTACATTTTTACCTTTTTTTCTTAACTTGATAAGTTTTTTTTTTTTTTTTTTTTTATTGATTTACAGTAGGTAATATATCATTCAAGGGCTCTTCTAATTGGTCAAATGCCAAAATAAGACGTACAGCCATGTAACAGCATCTTTGCTGAATGGCTGGATATAGATCTTGTGTTTCTAGACCTCACTGAGGAATGGGGGGACTCAATGTGTAAGGGGTATGCAAGTGATCAAAAATGCCATCTTGCCCTATAAAGGGTTAACAGTCATATCTCACAAGCTGTAATAAAAACACAGCTATACGAAATACAAGACTCTTTAGTTGTCACAACATTTGATCTAATGTTTTTTTTAAATAACCAGACATAAAATTTTGAAGAGCCAAGTCATTATTTCTGTCAAGAACAAGAAAAAAGTGCTGTGAGACTTGTTGACCAACAGTGTATAGCAACATGTGGGGGAGGGGATGTGATGAATCCCACCAATCTTGTCACTTTTGCACTTTTACAATTGAATTTTGCAATATAGCTACATCTGCACCACATAATAAAGTGACAAACGTTTTTGGCAGCATTTCATTGCCATCTTGGCGTATATACCATCTGTAAATACAGCAGCTTTTTAAATATGGAAAAGAATGCATTTCACTGCTTCTCTGGCTCTAACAGCACTGTTCATTACTCATACACAGCGAAAGCCTCTGTGTGGGAGGAAAGCAGTCTCATGCAGCTCTGTTCTACGTACTGGACTCTGCAGGATGTGGGTGACCCTCTTCTTCTGCTCCATCATGTTGAAATCCTGCCTCAGGTCTGGCGACAGGGTCCTGCCTCGCTGCGACTCTGGGTCGCTTTCCCCCATGCTATCCAAGTGGTGCTCTTTGGGGTCATTGCCAGACAGGGGCAGGGTCAAGGACCCTGCGGCCCTCCTCACATCCACCAAACTCATGTCTTCTCCTCAGTGGTCTCCTATTTAGGGGGAAAAAAACAAAGGATCAGCTCACCTCCACTCAGTTTAAAGCTGTCAAGGCAACCTGTGTTATTTTAGCTGCAAAAGAAACTGTACTAGCTGCAGCGGTGACTCATGTAATTACATGATATAGACAAAAGAGAGGAGAACATTGTTATTTGACAAATGCAGATTTGTGCAAAGCTCCATTAGTCAGAGATGCTTTGGAAATGATGCAAGGGACTTTTAGAATACCAAAACATGGCCCAAATAAGAAAAACATGATGCATTTTAATCGCAGAGCAATTTACCACACAGAAGTTAAGCTTTAAAAGCACCCCTGTAAAGCATGGTGGACGGTAAACAAAGGTATGGGCCTCTTGTAAATGAGCTCATCTGGAAAGCAGTTAGTACCTGGATGTGGGGGTGGAGGTAGGAACCAGCCTTTACATAGGGCCTGCGTAAAAAGTTGGATTAGTGCACTAAAACAAAGCAAACGACGCAGCAATCATTTTTGCAACTTAAAAAAAAAGGATAAAAACACATAAGATGATGCACAAACAAGTGAAGGAAACAAAAACAAACTCTCACGCTGAAAATGACCTCTAAAAAGTCCCTCCAACTCTCCCAGGACGGCGTGATGTGGACTTTCTCCAACAGAGGCTGGGATAAAGAGCAACAGCACGGCTGTTAATGTCGATCCGGATTCATTGGGATGGGAAAAAAAGTAAACGCAGGAGGAAAAAAAAAGTGCGTGAGGCGCAAGTTGTGCTTACAGGATCCAGAAGGAGCCGGACTGCGCGCTGCGGCTCTCAGTGCGAGGAGTGAGGAAGAAGCGCGGCAGCATGGAGGAGGATGTGGGTGTGTTTGTGTGGGAAAAAAGGAAAAGTGACCATGTGACTTCACTTATCCACCCACCATCGGACCCTGGGAGCGGGACAAAAAAAAAGCAGCGCTAGATGTGGTACTGATTTTACAACTACATGCTGAAGCTGCGGGGGGAAAGCAAAGGATGGATTTGCAACCTGCTTTCAATCGATTTTTGCAGCATGCATCCTAGAAATAACTATTAAGCAGCTTGTTGAATAAAGAAAAACTTTGTAACTTCCTTATTGTTTCTGAATACACTCCAAAAACGATCTAAAATGAGCAAAAATGTCTTAAATGTAGTATATTTTCCATTAATTTGAGTAGGTAAATAAGGAATTTGTATTTTTAGTTTTAAAATAAGATAATTAGATCATATACACTTGAAATAAGACAATGCAATTGTGTTTTCCTGTTTTAAAGATATATTGTCCGTATCAATTACCCCCTCATTTCAAGAAAAAATGCACTTATTGCAAAAATGTCATTTTTTTTTTTGTTTTATTAGCTCCTGCTGCTTCATTTCATAACCAAGACTGCTGTCTGAGAAGCTCATCCAAGCTCTATGGCTCTAATGTGTTAAAACAGATGGCTGTGAGCCCACAGCATGATTCCCTCTAAAGTTTTTTAGATGTTTTCCTGACCATGTTTATGTACCTAACATAGTTCAATAAAAGTAGCTTCCCCTTTTAACTTGTACAGGTGTAGTGATAATAACAAGAGTAGGAACGTTAACAGTTGAAGTGTTGCAAAGACTGTGCATTAATGCTTTCTCTAAACATCTTTTTAATCTACCTTGAACCAAAAAAAATGACATGATTAGCTACCTGAAGAATTATCGGAAGAAAATTTATTTTTGTATTTGGATTTACCAAATGTAATGTAAATGCTTGACAGATATAAATCACATGTCTTAATCTTCTGGATGCTGAAAGTACATCTTGTTTTTTTTTTTTATTCATGTTTATATAGAAAATTTATGTGAATAAAAGTCAAACTTCTGACATGGACTACCCAGTCTTTGAGAAATCAGCCGTTAATGTAGAATATATATTATATGAAGTATAATATATAATATATAGTATATATATAATATATGTAATACTGCCTTTTCTGGTTTCCAAGATACCCTTTGGTCTGATAATCAAGCTGTTTTTGTGCTTAGCTGCAACAGTTGAGGCCAGTCATTTCAGATGTGCCTCTTCCATGTTTTTGTACATTTTTAGCATCTGATATCTTTAACTGACTATACAGATATTCTGTTTTCAATCATAATCCTTATTAGCAGACAACTATTTGTTTTTAGCATAACAAATATTTTGATCAGGGTAAAATATCAAGGCATCTGTTCCTCTTGGAAGAGTTTGTACCAGCCAAATGACTATGTTCCAGCAAATTTACAGACACAGTGAATGTTTCTCTGAGTTTGAAACACCAAATCAGTGTGACTGAAAAGCAAAAACGCTTTCAGTCCAATGTGATTCGGTTTTCTTGGAAAAAACAGGACAGTTGCATGTGAAGAAAAATGCCTGCAAGTCTACACATTCTGTTTTTCCATACAATTTCAAGAAAACTTTTGAAATGTCACTAGAAGAAAAGGCTAATTAGCCGTGTTTTCTCACAAGACTGCATTAACCAGGTTAAACACAATTTTGTCTAAAGTGAATATTATGTATGACATAGAGGTTGCAAAATAGCAGAGACACATCTGAGAAATATGGAGCAAGTTTTAAATGTTCTGTCAAGTCAACTAGTATTAGTGATTTAACATGCTGTGGAGACATGGACAAAGAAAGGCTATTTTAATGACAAATGGATGAAGTTGTGGAAACATTATTTCCAAAAAAGCCTTGCTAATGTGATGTTTCAACCAGTCCATCTTTGGTTTTGGCAGATCGAGGCAGCCTCTTATATTTACAGTGTGTCTCACACTAGGTCTAACCTTGTGATGTTTCAGTAATTAAATACAAATTACCTTCTGCAGGTACTCATAAAAAAATACATACTCACAGCTTATGCATTGCTTTTCATTTATATTTGCTGGTGATGCTCCTTACTTTGTTCCCGAACTGTTGCTCCTTAAAAGCTACTGTACTTCTCCAAAAGGTTTAACATTTTTATTCTACTACTTGGCGTTTCTCCTCACCATCTCGAGGTTGGACTCCCCAATCACAATGTTAAAACTTTTAGGCCTTACTCTACCTTCTGTATATATATATTTAAAAAAATTAAGATAGTCATTAGCAAATCCTGCTGTAACGGGCTAAGTGTTTTTATAAATTTATGAAAAATGTACCAACCTTTAAATGTGTAAATTAAAAAATAAGCATTATAACAGACATGGCTTCTTTAGGCAGGTGATAACTTAATAAAAAGCAAAGCAATCTCATCCCTTGCACATTTCTGTTTTCAGTTTTAACAGGCAGCCTCTGTGTCATGGTTTTTGTTTTCTTTAAGTCCCATCTTTCAGTTTTCATTGGTTTTATCCCCGTTTTGTGTTATTGTAGTTATTTTTGATTGTATTTTTTGTTGCCCTCTTGTGTCAGTCTCCTTTCCCATAGCTCCCTTCTAGATTCCTCTGTCTACACCTGATCCCAACCTGCAGATTAGCCTGGTCTTTGTTTTTGTCTCCCATATATACACCTCCTGTTAAGTCACTGTTTGCTGGTTCCTCATGATCATTTCTTTACCCTCCATGTGAGTTTTTCTGGATTTCAATATTTTGTGGATTTATGCTTGTGGATTTTTGCTTCTGTTGAAAACCCTTAGATGTCTGCATTTGGTCTTTAGAAACCTCCACCCAACCTGACATCTGATGTTATAGTTAAAGCAGTATTTAAAATAATCCTCTATGAACTGAAAGCAACTCTGGAATCCCACCGTATCTATTTAGTGATCGTCTGTACATTGCTCCCGTCCAATACAAAGTTATTTCACATTTCATTAAACACAATCAAGCATTCACAAACAAATGTATCTTTAGTTTTGGAACATGGGGGAGGAGGACTGGATCATTTGCTAACATAAATAAAAAACAGGAAACATTGCAGAGTCAGAGAGGTGGAGCAGATATGTGGACTTAATGGTTACTGTAATGAAAGGTAGAACTGCACTCTGGAGCAATGTGACCCCTCAACCCACCCATCTGCCCCTCCAACAAAATAAAAGGAAAGAAAAAAAAACCTGCCCCTATGCCTGGCAGAGCTCCCAATGAAACCACATGCAAACTTAGATTCCTGCACACAACAGCCTCCCTCCGTCCAGCCCCCACATTCTTTCGGACCACTTGAACTTTTCAGGGAAGGCAGTTTTATCTAGAAACTACTGGTCAAATGCCAGTTAGTACATACCGACATAGATGGTTTTCCAAAAGAGGTAAGGAGAGCTACAAACAAAAACACACCTTTGTCTTGTCTCTTGCTTTTCTATTTTACTTTTAGATGTAGTGATTATTTTGGTTCTTTAAAAAAAGGTAGATGCCACCAAGAAACAACTCTCAAAGAATATTGTGAGAAATCCCACCTTAAAGATTCACTGTAAAGTTGTAAACAGCTCATCTTTCAGTGACTGTACATTCAAAATGTTCAATTAAATCATTCACGAAACGATTGAAATCAACATGACCTCTCTCCAACACTGAGCTTAAATACTATTTAAATAATTGTATTGAGATAGTGAAAAACTGTTCAACTTCCAAAGGAAGAAGTTGGTTATGATTGTGGTTAGGATGAAATCTTAAGGATGTCAGCCTGTCATGCTCAGGAGCTTCTGTGAAAGTCCAAAGATACATCAGTTCATCAGAGTTGTGTCATTGGCTGAATCTTTCAGCAAGATGTCTGGCAGAGCTCAGCATGCTGACAAAGTGGGTCCACCCTTGACCCTTCCTGTAGTTTGTTTTTTATCTCAGCTGGGGATAGGTTTGAGGTTTGAGGAGGCTTGTCCTGAATCTGGTTTCTTTCTCTAAACATACAGAAAAGAAAAACAATAGCAGAAGGTGATATGATTTGTTTTAAACAGGAATGCCTTATACAGTTTAATAGTATACTAATACTAAAATATGAAAGCACTGCTAGTAAAGTCTATTAATTAAGGTAATAAAAATGTTACCAAAAAAATTGAACTTTGCGATTTAGAATCAGTTTATTAATTTCAAATAACAGTAAAAATATTAGAATGGAAGGATGACATTAAGAATTTTTTTTTTATCTGTAAAATTATTCACAATGAAATATCAGTAATTATTGAAGATATTCCGCAATATATAAACATTGTGTAAATAGATACAAAGCCATTAAATGGTGAATATATACAAACCAGTTTTTCCTGCTCATTTTGATAGTTAAAATCTTAATTTTGGGTTGTTTTGTTTTGCACACCAACATCTACAGTAGAAGTTGAGATTTTACATACAAGACTCTTTTCTTCTGGTCTTTTAAAATGTCCTGGTTACACATTTATCGTTTTAAAAACCAAACCTCTTCTTCAACATAAGTAATGTCCTAAGGTCTTATACATACAAGGCACATCAAAAAAAGAAAAACACTTTTGAGTAATATCTAGAATTTTATATTGTATATAAATGAGTAAACATACGTCAGTTCATTATGGGCTTCTTAATGGGACTTATCTATGGTTTTATACCAGTTTTATGTCTGATTTGTAGATCGCATTGTCAAAACATCTCCACCAGAAGAACATGTTTTGAAGCAGCTGTTAGGCTTGCAGAAAGATTGAACTTCTGAACTCATGAAGAAGCTTTACCTGTCCAGATCAGAGACAGGCTTGGTGAGTCTGACAGATGCTGAATCCGAAGTGAGGAAACAGCAAAAAAAATCCAACAACCTGTGACACGACTGACAGCCCTTTAAGTATGGGGGAATGGAAAATCAGCTCTTTGTGTTGAGATTTCTATGTCACTCGAGATGAGA